ACATTCCCACCAACAATGAAGTAAGGTTCCCTTCTGTCCACATCCCCTCCAGCATCTGTTGTTGTTAGAGTTCTTGATTTTTGCCATTCTAACTGGAGTGAGGTGGTATCTCAATGTTGCTTTGATTTGCATTTCTTTTATGGCTAGGGATCTTGAGCATTTCTTCATGTGTCTATAGCTCCAGAGAAATTCTGTCCCCTATTCTTGTTGGTGGTTTTCTCCTTCTCTGCTACTTCTTTTCTTCTTCTTATGAAAGGGGATTTTCTACATAAGTATCTTCTTCCTGGCTTCTACCACAATTGCAAACTATCAGCAGAAAAGCAGGTATTCTGCATAAATCATATTGTTCCTGTTATAGTTTAGGTACACTGACATTTGTACTAGGGAAAAGTCGTATCTGTCTTGAGATCCAAGCTCCAAGATGCCAACAAAGAGGTAATTTGTCTTTTGTAAAGCAGCAGTTGCAGCCTGGCACTGGTGGCTCATGACTGTAATCCTAGCTACCCAGGAGGCTGAGATCTGAGGATCCCAGTTCAAAGCCAGCCCAGGCAAAAAATGTCCACAAGACTCTTATCTCCAATTAATTACTCCCAAGCTGGAAGCAGAGCTGGCTCAAAGTGGTAGAGTGCTAGCCTTGAGCAAAAGAGCTCAGGAACAGTGCCCAGGCCCCAAGTTCAAGCCTTACAACCACCACCAACAACAACTTGTGACTATGTGAAGTCAGACTAGCATCAGTAAACACTTGGCCTTTTAGGGATAAGATGTATGATTTGTTCCTAATCTACTGGCTAATGTACTTTTTTCCAATCTTGTTCTATAATCCTAGCTACTTAGGAGGCTGAGGTCTGAAGATCGAGGTTGAAACCCAGCCTGGGCAGTAAAGTCTGGTCTGTGAAACTTTTTTTTTTTTTTTGGTTGGTCATGAGGCCTGGGTGCTGTCCCTGAGCTCTTCGGTTCAAGGCTAGTGCTCTACCACTTGAGTGACAGCGCTACTTCTGGTTTTCTGGTGGTTAATTGGAGATAAGAGTCTCACAGACTTTCTTCCCTGGGCTGGCTTTGAACAGCAGTCCTCAGATGTCAGCCTCCTAAGTAGCTAGGATTACAGGCGTGAGCCACTGGAGCCTGGCTCTGTGAGATTCTTACCTTCAATTAACTACCAGAAAACTGGAAGTGGAGCTGTGGCTTAAAGTGGTAGAGTGATAGGCTTGAGGGAAAAAGTTCCGAGACAGCACCTGGACCCTGAGTTCAAGCCCCATGACCAAAAAAAAAGTGTTTTTTGCTACTTCAATTCCTGTGTACATACTGTTATGACAGAAAATATAGTCCTTTTGGATAACTATATATAGAGTAGATAAGCCATCTTTAGGTAAATGCTATGGAAAGAAAAAGTTATTTGGTACTCAAAAAAAAAACTATCCTGGTAGGAGGCTAGTTTTGGCTACAAATTCAATGTTCCAATAAAATAATTTAATGCTCCAATAAAATGAAGGAGAAGGTTAGGGTGAATCTAAATGTAGAAATGAAAAATAACAAAAGACAGCTAGGAAAGAAACTAGAGAAGCAGCGTTGCCATTTGGTCCTTTGCTAGGTAGCCCTGAGGATGTGGGCATGCATCCAGAGCTGCAGAGTGCCCTTGTGCCACAGCACCAACTGGCCTGGAAAGTGGAGCTGCCTGGTGAAAACTACAGTCACTGTTCAGAAATATGTGTCATAATAAGTAGTAAGTTTAGACAGATTAACATTCTAGGAGAAAGTCTCATCTAAATTTCTAATTTTTAGACCTTAAAATATCTTTTATCAGCTTGTGCCAACAAAGGAGGAACACACAGGCAGAAGAACTAAATTCACACCCTATTAGGTTTTTGGCTCTTTATAAGCCATTTGATTCATATTTTAACATATATTCTTTCTTCCTTCCTTTCTTTCTTTCTTTCTTTCTTTCTTTCTTTCTTTCTTTCTTTCTTTCTTTCTTTCTTTCTTTCTATATTATTGGTTGTGGGGCTTGAACTCTGGGCCTGGGTGCTGTCCCTTAGCTCTTCAGCTTAAGGTGAGTGCTCTACCACTTGAGCCACAGAGCCATTTCTGGTTTTCTGAGAGTTAATTGGAAATAAGAGTCTCATGGATCAGAAGTGGCGCTGTGGCTCAAGCTGTAGAGTGCTCACCTTGAGCTGAAGAGCACAGGGATAGCGCCCAAGCCCAGAGTTCAAGCCCCACGACCGACAAAAAAAAAGAAAAAAAAAGTCTCATGGACTTTCCTGTCTGAGCTGGCTTTGAACCATGATTCTAAGATCACAGCCTCCTGTGTAGCTAGGATTATAGGCGTGAGCTACCAGCACACAGCCAAAAAATAGAAATTTACCCCCTATATGATTAAAATGATACCAACTTTCAAGTCATGAGTGTGCATTAAGAAAGTTCTCTGGAAACCAGAGAGTGCTATTGCATAAAACGTACATATCACAACAGTTATTAGCAAATGCTTATATGATGGGGTGTTTAAATCCCTTGGGGTTTACCAGACCTAAGACCTGAGTTCAAAATCTCACTGAGTGTTACAGGTTCTAGGTGCCTAAGCTTGTGCCTCATATTAGTAAAACTGGTATATTAATCAGACCCAAAGCACTGTCTTAGGTTTAGGTGGAAAAAATTATGTAAAGCATTACAACTTTATAGTACATAATTCAATATTGTTATTGGTACGTGGTAAGAAATACTGGCAAGTAACACTTCTTACCACCCTGTGCTAGCATGCGTCTGGGTGCTCAATCCTTTATCTCATTTAGCCTCCTCCCTTCTGTCCCATGAGAAGGCAGAGGCATAGAGGCCTAAGCTAGTGCAGCTAGTAATCAAAGAACAGGGTAAGGCCTAGGTCTGCCACACACTGTGCATACTCTGCTTTTTCTATTGTGCAATACTGTTGGCCATGTAGTACCACTAGTAGGCACGTTATTTTATTGAGGAAAGTATGAACACACACACACACACACACACACACACACACACACACACACACA